ACTCACACACTCACACTCACACACACACACACACACTCTCTCTCACACACACACTCACACTCACACACACATACTCTCACACACACACACTATATATATGAACTGAAAACAAGTAAAATATATATTACATAAATATAAGTATAAATATTAATAAATAAGTATAGATATTTAAAATATATATTTAATAATATTTTTTAAAAAGTATATGAAAGAACTACAAATATATTTTCATATATATACATATGAAATCAAAACAAGTAAAATATATATAAAATATAAGTATAAATATTAAGAAATAAGTATAGATAATTAAAACGTATTTACTAATATACATATATTAAAAAAGTATATGAAAGAAAAATATAATTATGTGGTCATGCTTTATTTCAAGGTCCAATTCTCACTATTAACTAACTATTAACTACGATTTTTGCCTTAGTAAACTAATAATAATTCTGCTTATTAATAGTTAGTAATGTAGTAGTTAAGTTTAGGCCTGGGTTGGATTAAGGGATCTAGAATATGGCCATGCAGAACAAGGCATTAATATGTGCCTGATGAATACTAATAAACAGACAATATGCTAGTGATATACATGATAGTTAAACGTGAGAATCGGTCCTTAAAATAAAATGTTACCAATGATGTTTAAATAAGCCTGCACTGAACACGTACACACTCCACCACAGAAATAACCTCTGGAAGTCTCTGAAATGCAGCAAATAAAAAAGATGAAGTAAAAGCGTTCAGTAAACGTGTGTTTGTGTGCTAGAGTCGTTTCTCAGAGAGTAAAGTATCACACAGGTGAGTCTCGCTGGTGCAGGTGAAGCCGAGGCTCCGCCCACAGGAACTCAACTCCGCTGGGATTCTCACCAGTTCCACCTCCTTTAGCCAGCAAAACAACACGAGAAGCACAAACCCTGCACGCAGGAGATCAGTCCATCAGCGGCTGACCTTTCCTGCCACATGCAGGAATTCCCCAGCCGTCATTACTGAAGCGGACAAAAGGGCAAAACCTTTCGTTCTCAGAGGAAAAATGATAAAAACTCCGCCCACTCGCATCTTTTGTTCGCCCCACTTCCTGTCAGGCCAGAAACTGGCACACATGCAGACCCAGTGTGATCAGGTGTGTGTGTGTGTGTGTGTGTGCGAGTGTGTACCTGGTATTTATCACGTTATGGGGACCAAATGTCCCCACAAGGATAGTAATACTAGTAAATTTTGACCTTGTGGGGACATTTTTGAGGTCCTCATGAGGAAACAAACTTATAAATCATACAGAATTAGTTTTTTTGAGAAAGTAAAAATGCACAAAGTTTCCTGTGAGGGGTAGGTTTAGGACACACACACACACACACACACACACACACACACACACATTATCCAATTAAGCTGTGCAGAGAGAGAAATAACAGCCAGCAATGTTTGAGATTTGCTGAAAACATCAGTTTCCAACAGAATGAACAATAATCCACTAGTAGGTTCAATAATTCACTTTAGTTTGCAGCTCGTTAGGCAAAACTGTAATTTAAAGAAACGCTGATGGACAAGTTTTTAATTGCAGCACAGATACAGTTGTCATCGCATATGGACTTACATCGGTCATTAATTGGTTTAGTCAATAAATTACTCGCGCGCGCTCTATTCTAACGGGGATTTACACTAATATAGGCTACGAATTAATAATAAAACTCGCGATTAAATAAATTATTGTATAGCATATGAATATGGTCGTTAATTATAAACGAGCGAGTCATTTCGACAATATCCTGTTTCAAAATTACAATTATTTTACGTTTTATAAAATGTTAAAAACGATTAAACTTGACGGGAAACAAATTCATTTCAACTTTATTTTAATGCATTTAAACGCGTCATTGAGAGTCGTTCAGAAAATGAAAACTACACAAAAACAACAATCATTACAAAACAAGAACGACGAAATAATAATAATATTAATAACAATAATAATAACAACATCGAGTTTATATGCAAATAATAGTTTTTAACAATTGTTATTATATTCGATCTATAGCAAAAGTTTGAAATGGAAATACAAACAGCATAATTCTGATCTGATACATGCTATTAGATGAAAACCATTTTGACAATATTCTGCTGTAATTCTGACAGTTTTCAAAAGAAAGGCAAAGGCGCGTGTTAATTATTTATTAATTAGTCCAGGTAATGACGACCATCTCGCGCACCTGCGGGTTTAACTTATTTCAACTAAAATACATTATAAGAAATAATAATTTCTGAACTAGCACGGTTAATTAATTATTATTCGTATCAGTATTATCGTAATTATCAGATTTGTGTCTTATTTAAAAACAGTCTTTTCATTAAAAAAAAGACGGAAACCATTGCTGAGAACGAATGTCCAATTCAGTTTCACTGATAATTTATGAAAATGTAAACAAAATAAAAATAAACAATGGACATCAGACCAAATTAATTTATAATACAAATTCTCAATGCACAAAAATGTTAAGGCAGAACAAACACGCCATAAAAGAAAATAAGTCTCGCGATCATCCAAAAATGACAACTCGCTGCAAGAAGCCACAGGAAGACAAACAACCCAAGTAACGGAGCTACACACCAATTCAACACATATAAGTTATAACTGCACGATGATCCCCTAAACATGTTACTCCCCAGGTCTGCGCTTTATGTTTATGTTTCAAGTGCTTGTAGACAAAGTGACGCGCGCGCAGTCATATTCCTATAAACGCCGTTTTCTCCTCGCTTCCCTGCATGCGCGCCTTTCCCAACTTCCCTGATAGAGCAACCGGGAGAAACTCACATCAAAGCGTGCAGCAGGCCTCGGGTCCGCGTGATTCCCGCATATATCCGCACCGCCGAGAGACTGCGCTTTTCCTCTATACGCGTGCGTTTGAAGCGACGCGGAGAAAAGACTCTCTAAAGGGAGACGCGCGTCTTTTCTCTTTTCTGTTCTTTTTTTATATACACAGAACTGCTTTTTGTTCCTCATTTTTTTCATTTAAGAGGGTAATGGAAGGGGGGTGTTCGTTTGATCACATGATTACAATTCACCTGAGATAAAACAAAGGACGCAAAGAGCGCCGGAGACCGAGACAGAGAGATGCTCTCATGCTCAGGATCCCCTTATCAGAGTCAACATTCATGGATAATGAAAAAGGCAATGATTTTTGGCTTGTGTGGAGGGTGGAGGGGGGCGTCGCGAGACGGAAATACAAGAGGTTATTGTTGACCAGAACAGCGCGCGTGTTTGTGTGCGTTTGGCCCGTCGTTCGCCTCTCTTCTCGTCTTTCTATATTTTCTGTTTAAACGCGTTAAATGCGCTCTCTGTGTGTTTATGTGATGCAATTATGACATTAACACGTGTTTTAATGGGAAAAATTGCTTAATCGGTGTTTGACGAAACGATTTGACGCATCGGTCATTTGGCAAAAAAAAAAAAATAATAATTAGGCCTACAGCTCGTTAAATGACGGATTTGAATACTTTGATTTGAAGTACTTTTATCCATGTTGTTGCAGCTATTATAAATAACTATTTACGAGCTTTTTAAAATACAGACAATATTTGCTATAGTCTTTGAAAAACGTTGTAGGCTACTCGCGCATTATCGAGCAAATGCTGTTTCAAATTGCTCTATAAAGCCATCAGATTTAAGTGCAATTTGATAATGTGAAAAGAGAAAAACGTAAAGTACAAAATCTACATAATATGTACATTCCTTTCACACAAAAAGAACAAAATAACAAGTTTCACGCTCCGATATTCTGATAAAAACACTGAAATTGCACAAGAGATCCAATCAACAGTATCTCATTAGTGGAAGTAATCTAATTTTTGTCAAATCTGAGCACGTTTGTTTAAATGTCTGGTGATATTTAAAAGGGATTGTTACATTTAAGAGAGTGGTGTTTTGGCATGAGTGAATTGGGGCAAATTATTGCCAAACCAGGCGTAATGACCCGCCCTACTGTACTGCGTGAACCTTGTCAATGCATCGAGAAACCGCTAAACAGAGAAATTAGTATCAGTATTGTTAATGCCCTGCTTTGAATTTATTTCTCTACATCTGCTTATTTACATGTGAATTCGGGGTTTCTCTGCTGTGGTTTGAGTTTTGGTAACAAGGGCGTAATTGTGAAGAAGAAAGATTTTTTAATCTTTCTGGATTAACAGTGTAAAATACTGCAACGCTCAAATTTTCTGAGCACGAAACTCTTTAAAACTAAGTTGGTGTCACGAGGTATAAAGTTCCGAGATTTGCGTGAATGTGTAAATCAGAGACGTGTTGGGTTAATCTGTCTTAATGGGAAAAGTTGCATAATCAGTGTTTGACGAAACAATTTGCCACTTCGATCATTTGGCAAAAAGCTCGTTAAATTACGAATTTAAATAGGCTACTTTGATTTTAAATAGGCTATTTGTATCCATGTATGATGTTGCAGCCATTGTAAATAACTTTTAAATAGCTTTTTAGAATTCAGTCAATATATTGGCCATTTAGCCAATATATAGCTAGTCTTTGAAAAACTTTTTACTCGCGCATTATCGAGCAAATGCTGTTTCAAATTGCTCTATAAAGCCATCAGATTTAAGTGCAATTTGATAATGTGAAAAGAGAAAAACGTAAAGTACAAAATCTACATAATATGTACATTCCTTTCACACAAAAAGAACAAAATAACAAGTTTCACGCTCCGATATTCTGATAAAAACACTGAAATTGCACAAGAGATCCAATCAACAGTATCTCATTAGTGGAAGTAATCTAATTTTTGTCAAATCTGAGCACGTTTGTTTAAATGTCTGGTGATATTTAAAAGGGATTGTTACATTTAAGAGAGTGGTGTTTTGGCATGAGTGAATTGGGGCAAATTATTGCCAAACCAGGCGTAATGACCCGCCCTACTGTACTGCGTGAACCTTGAACCGTGAATCAAGAATATGCCGAAATAACGTAGCTATGAACTGAATAAGATTTGAATAGTAAACGAAGTTAGCAGTGGCGGATAAAAAATGAGCAATAAAGAGTTGTGTGGCTAAAACGAATGAACAACGCTTCTAAGTTCTCTTAAACAGTCGCTTTGTACTGAAATGAGTTGAACGGAAAATAGAGCAAACCCAAAAGCGCAATTAGGCTACTTAAATAAATTGACCCATACCTGTGTTAGTCTACTAAAAACGAATTATTAAGTCTAATGAGGTGCATTATCAGGCTATTTGTGTCCCAAAGAAACTTCTACTTAACACACAAGTCAATCGGACACAGATCTAAACGCAGTGACCCTCTCAAATGTGATTATTGAATTGATATTAAATGAATCTGTTATCACAGAAGTGAAGTCACCTAGCTGTGTCTGATCTTAATTAAAACTGGTGTCGGATGGTTTGTTGCTCTAGTGTTCGGCTGAGATTCGACCCGCACCGGCAACAGCAGGCCTAATTCATCTCTAGTGTTTTTGCCGTATATAAAACAGTAGCCTATCTGTTGTTATACTCTGAGAGAAAAGCTGGTTCTCTGATTGATCTTATAGACGCAAAATAAATATTTTATTCCTAATGTCGCGCGTCTATTCACTTCGCTGCTCGCTTGAGTTTTCAGAAACACATTGCCTTGACTCTCTGTATTTTTCTGCTGGTTATAAGTCGTCGCTTGTGCTTTCACCAGCACACACTGCGTAATTCAGCTGGCCCCAGCAGCGCCGCTCCGTGTTTATCCAGCAGCGGGGCGGAATGAAGCCCGTATTATTCCAGCGCTTTCTCTCCCGGGAGCTTGAACACACCACCAAACCTTCAACAGTAGCTTGTTAGCAGAAGTGAAGCTAAAATAACACACACACACACACACACAGGCGAACTGACGCCACCGTATGATTGCTGGAAAAAAGACGAATTCTAAATAAAGTCAAAGCCTCAGTGTTTGTAGCAGTTTTTCCTAAACAGGTTGATCTTGTTCGTGAGGCGTTTTGAGTGCTGGGTTATGAACGGCAATATCTCATTACAACTCCATATTCATATTATTACACATTCAGAATAAATACTTGACAACCTATGATAATAAAAAATAAACATTCCTTTGTGTGTATTGTTGCAGGTTTTTCAGCAGATCTTATATCCTGAGAAAGACGGCGGAGGGATTCATTCTGAAAAGA